GGGACAGAGCCAGCACAGCCCCTGGCCGCCTGCTCCAACACCAACACGTCTCCTGGCACAGGAGCAAAGGCTCCTGCAACCGGTAGCTCTCAGCCACGTCTCCTTCCCCTCCCTGCTGGCCTCAGAGACCTCCCCGGCTTTTCCCAGTGAGAGGCAGGAACTTGTCTCGGCTTCAAGGGGCTCCAGATGCTTTGAAGGTGCAAGAGCAGCGCTGTGGAGGGCTTGGGGGGGCCGCACACCCCTTTCACCGGGCCTCTCCAGGCACTCTGCAAACAGGAACCCAGCGCCTCTTGTGCCAGCGCCGCCTGCGCAAACAAGGGTGGGTGGTGGTGGGAGCCCCAAGGGCTGGGAGGGCACCCATGGGCCGGGCCAACCCTTGCCGTGCCCCCCCCCTCCATCCGCAGGGCGCTGGCAGGGCTCCACCACCAGCACCGAGTGTGTGCCCCCGGCTCTGGCCCAGCTGCAGCTGGCATGGCTCCGGCGCATGACGCAAAGCAGTTCCCGGGTCCCCCGTGCCCTTTGGATCCCCACTGACAGCAGGGATGGACTTTGAGGCTCCAGTCCCAAAGAGCTTCCCCACGGGGCACACACACCCCGAGCCTGACGGGTGTCCGGGGCACCCTGAGCCGGGCTCTGTGTCTGTGTCCTCATCCCTTCGAGCCACCCTGCTGTCCCCGTGGTGGTCCCCAGGGACAGGGGAGGCTGTGAGCTCTGGTGTTGACACATCCCAGCCCCATGTCATCCCCCTCATCCTCATGACACGCTCCCCAGGGTCTCACCCGGGAGCAATGTGGGCAGTGCAGGGTGGCTGCTGTGTGCTGCCATGCAACGTGTCCCCTTTGTCCCCATGTAGCTGCTGGGTAGCAGCCACAGCTGGCTGGACCCTTGTGAAACACCAGCCCGAGCCCCTGTGGGGAATGGAAGCACCATGAAGTCCTGCCCGGCCATATGGGGCAAGGGAGATGCTGCCAGCACCCAGATCAAGCTGGCTGCAGCACCCCAGAGTGCCGGCACCCGCTCTGGATACAGCAGGCAGTGAAATCCAGAGAAGGGGGAGGCAAAAGCATCATCAGCTCCAGTCCTGCTGCCTTCTCACCCCCCCAGGACCCATTTGCACACCCTGCCTGGTGCTAGGAGGTGCCCCAAGCCCTGGAGAAGCTCTGCAGCCCCAAGCTGAGGAGCTTGGCTGCGTCTCACAGCCCCTCACCAGCTCCATGTGTCCCCAGGCCGGTGCTCCCGGTCCTGGCAGGGCTGTCTGGTTTCGGGTGCGCTCATGCTTGCTCAGCTCCGGGCTGTGACGGATCCACGGCAGCAGGAGGTGTGGGTGGGAGGTGGGGTGGCAGAGCTGTCATCTTCCGGAGCAGCTCCCATCCCTATCCCTGTCCCCAGTCCTCAACCATGTCCCCAAGAGCAAGCGCCTGGGTCCCAGCCCCTAAAGGGTCACCTCAGGAGCCTGGTGGTGTCCCCAGTTCTGGGATCGTGACAGCATCACTGTCAGAGGGGTGTTTGAGTTGCGGTCCTGCCTGTGAGACCATCACCGTGGTCCTGGTGACAAGGGTGAGCCTGCGAGTGGCCCAGTCCCACCTGCCTGTGGGTTGCTGAGGGCACCGAGCTTGGTGGGAGCTGCTGCAGCAGCATCCCCACTGGGATCAGCCCTTGGCGGTTCATTTATTGCCATGAGGATCTCCCAGAGCATCTGCTTGGGAGGGAGATCAAAAGTCCCCCACAGGAAATTGTGCAATACCACATTTGTGGGTGAAAATCCAAATCTGAGGAAATCCTGGTCTTCCGATCTCTCCCACTCCACTTGTAAGGCAGGGCTACACCTATCTGCAGTCTGTTAGCACAGCCGCTGGCACAAAGCACGGCTCATTGTTCCCCTAAAGCTCCGTTTGCCCAAGGGGCAATTCCTCAGTGTTTCAAGGACAGGAATGCCAAAAGCTTGGAACAAAGGGAGCAGAGCAATAGCGCTAGGACCGAACATGATGGGGAGCTGAGAGCCTGATCCCTCCAGGAGGCAAGGGCCACCATAGGCACAAGCCCATCCCCAGTACAATGTTCCTTTCTCCTGGGGGATCCGGGGGCTCCCAGCTCACGCTGGGTGTCTGTCCTGAGGCTGTGGGTGCCTGATGCACTGGAGCCAGCTCAGCACAGAGCAAGGAGCCCAAGGCAGGTCTAACTGCTGAACTGGCCAGGCCGGTGATGCTGCCCACACCTCATCTTGCCTCAGGGTATTTTGTGTCACCGAGCAAATTCAGACATCCTGAAGCCTCCCATGGCCCCCATCCCTTGGGGGTAGCATCCCTGAGCACCCAGTGTGGCTGGGTGCAGGGCTGTGATGTGCCCTGTGAGCAGGGGAACCCATGCACATGTTGGAGGGGTTGGAAACCCTAAGACAACAGTGACACGGTTGAGCTCAGCACCCTGAGTTCAGCTCACACCAGGGAGTGCTTGGAGCTCCATGGCAGCGGCCACCCACCCCGCTCATCCCCAGCACAAGGTCTGCTGCATCCCAGGTCCCAGCTGCCTGCCCCTGTCCCCAGCTCAGCGCAGCTCCAAGTCCAGCTCCAAGTGGCAGTCAGGCAGTGGCCCCGGTCGCCACGCTGGCCCTGCTGGCTCAGCCCGTCTCGCAGCACATCCCAGGGTGATCTCTGAACCTGGTGGCGTGAGCTGAGAGGAGCTGGTGGCTGTCACTGTGGTAACAGTGCTGGCACCTGCCTACGTGCACCCAACAGCAGGCAAACAGCAGCCGGCACAGCCAAGAGGTGCCAGCATCCATGTCCACGTGGCCGTTTGGTGCGGAGGACACCACGGTGGCCCAGGGCAAAGTGCTGGGGACCAGGAGCCACCATCACCTATTGATCACCTATTGAAGCTGTTGTGCAGAGCCAGGGGCTGTGTGTGCTGCTGCTGGGTGTGTGTGTGTCCTGCTTTACATCAGTCCCTTCCATGGGCCCACGCAGAGCGGGGTTAAGCGTGGGGCTATGCTGAGGCTGGCACTGAGGGTCTGCAGCCCACCAGCCCTCACTGGTTGGTGCCACAGCGAGTGCAGGGGGCAGGAGGGTGATGATGCCTCTTCCAGCCAATGTGGGCCAATGCAGCCTCTGTCACCAATGAGGGTACCCGGGGGGAGGAGGATGGAGGGAATTGGGGCTGTCGAGCCTGGAGAAAAGAAGCTGCGAGGAGACCTCAGAGCAGTTTCCAGTGTCTGAAGGGGGCTACAAGGATGCTGGAGAGGGGCTCTGCATCAGGGACTGGAGCGATAGGACAAGGGGTGATGGGTTCAGACTGAAACAGGGGAAGTTCAGGCTGGGTGTAAGGCAGAAGCTCTTCCCTGTGAGGGTGCTGAGGCGCTGGCACAGGGTGCCCAGAGAAGTGATAAATGCCCCGTTCCTGTCAGCGTTCAAAGCCAGGTTGGAGGGGGCTTGGGTGCCATGGTCTGGTTTGAGGAGCCCCTGCCCATGGCAGAGAGTTGGAACTGGATGCTCTTGAAGTCCTTCGCAACCCAAACCGCTCTGTGACTCTGCGATGGGGCGGATGCGGAAAAGGAAGGGCTGGGATGGAGGGAAGGGATGGGGGGGGAGGGATGAGGATGAGGGTGGGCCGGAGGAGGGGGGGGGGGGGGTGGAGGGCGGGAGGAGGAGGAGGAGGCGGAGCCGTTCCGGGGCGGGGAGCAGCCGGTACAAGGCCCGCGCGGGCGGCGGCGCGGCCCCATTCATCGCACACGGCATGGCCGGGGGCGGCGGCGCGGAGCGGGCCCGGGCCGGGGGGCTCCTGCCGCCCGCCCGCCGCCAGCCCCTCCGCAGGGTGAGCACCGGGACCGGGCTGGGGAGGACGGGAAGGGACGGGACAGGGGACAGGGGGGGTTGTGTGGGGGGGTCCCGGTCGCGCTAACGCCGATCCCGGTTGCAGGAGAGCCGGGAGCGGCTGTCGGTGTGCAGCAAGCTGTGCTACGCCGTCGGGGGGGCCCCTTACCAGATCACGGGCTGCGCGCTCGGCTTCTTCCTCCAGATCTACCTCCTGGACGTGGCACAGGTACGGCCGGGGGGGGGGGAACCGGGGCAGGGCTTTGCTGGTTCTCCCGCCCCGCTCGGGTTGGGGGGGGATCGGTCGCGGTCCTGGGGGTTCCTGCCCCACGCGTGGAACCGAGCGGCAGCTCCGCGCCTCGGCTTCCCCAGGCGGTAAAACACGGGGTCGTGGTGTGTGTCCCGTGGGATCGGGATCCATCCCACAAAGCCGCAGCGTTTGGTGTGGAACAGGGAGGGAGAAGCACCCGTGGGGCACCTCGTGGTGCTGTGGGTGGGTTTGAGGGAGCTCTGCGCTGAGATGTGGGAGTTCGGTGCGGAAGGAGCGTGGTTGGGCAATGCTGAGAGGGACTGGGTCACCGAGCCTCAAATCCCCCTGGAAGTGAGCAGAGGATGAGGCCGTGGGGTCCCCGTGCAGTTGGGGAGGTCCTGAGGAGCTCAGGAAGGGCAGCCAGGGCCGTGGGGTTTTGTGTGTCCTGACACAAGGTCTTCTTCCTGTAGCTGGACCCTTTCTCCGCTTCCATCATCCTGTTTGTGGGGCGAGCCTGGGACGCTGTCACAGACCCCATGGTGGGCTTCTTCATCAGCAAGACATCATGGACCCGCTTTGGCCGCCTGATGCCCTGGTAAGAGCTGCCTGCAGCACCCACATCCCTGCCTGGTGTGTCATAGCGCTGCCAGTCAGCTTTGGGTGTCCCTTGGCAGGAGGCTTGCGGGGCCGGACGTGCTGATGCCCTGTTTCACCCAGGTCAGGTGCCAAGTGCCCCAAAAAGCCCCAAGGTGCTGCCAACAACTTGGGCTTCCAGTGTGTGCCTGTGACTCTGACTAGTCTCAAGCTGCCCTGTACAAGCAGGACCCTGTGTCACTGCGCCTGCAGCATCTCCTCCTGCCCCAGTGCCATGTTCTGATGCTGGACTTTGTTCCTGGGGTGGCTGCGGAGCCCTGGCTGGTGCCAGCCGAGCAGATGGCATCGCACGCCTGGGCAGGAGGGACGGGGGGTGCGTGGCCGATGCGCCGTGGTGGGAATGCCGGCTGACAGTCACGAGGATGCTCTTCAGACAGGAGAACAGCTGTTGGGGATCGGGATGTCTGCACATGAGCGCTCCTGCTGCCGTCAGGAGCAGGGTGCTGAGCAAGGGGATGCCGAAGGGAGTCGGAGCAGGTGGGATGGGGTTTGCAAAGCCCCAAAAGGGTTTCGTGTCTGTGCTCGGGGCAGACGTGGGATGTCTGTAAGCACCTGCCCCTGTACAGGACATGACGTGTTGCAGGGTGCTAATGCCAAAGTGCGGACATGGTGTGTCCTGTGCTAAAATAACCCACGTCCTGGGCGCCTGTGGGATTGCTGAAACACAATGCAGCCAAGAGGGTGGGCACGGGGGGGAGTGGAATTAGAGGACACGGCCCTTTCCCCCCCACAGATTATACCCTCCGCTTCCAGGCTTTCCTGGAATAGCTCTGGGCAGCGGCGCTCGGCTCCATGCATGGCCTGAAATAGCTCCTCTGCAGCCGCGCGTGCGGCAGGGTCTGGGGTCTGGAGATTAGAGCCGGGCTCTGTAATCTCGTGTCCTCGGGAAGGGGGTGGGGATGGAGCGCCTGCATTCCTCCAAACGGCTCCGGCTTCCTTAGGCTCAGCCAGAGCTTTGTGCTGCTGCTGGGCCCCTCCGCGGTGCCTGCGAGGAGCTCGCCGCTCAAGGGCAACCTCCTGAGCCCGGGCTGGATGGAGCTGAGTGGGGTCCAAACCTCCTGGGCTTGGGGTTCGTCCTGTGGAGCTGCTGCCCCGGTATCCCCATGGGGAGCCAGGAGCTGCTGCCTGACCCTGTGTAACCCCCCCCGTGTGTGTGAGGGTTTATTGCTCTGAAGGGTCTGATCGGGGAGGCCAAGCCCCAGCCGGCTGCTGGTGGCTGTGGCTCAAAGCTTGGGGCTCCTCCAGCTCTTTGAATGGGCGAGGAGAGCACCGCCGAGGGCCACCCCCGCTTTCCCTTTCGGTTCTTCCCTTTGGAAAGCCATTTTGGCGCGGTTTTGTGCCGGCCTCCGCTCCGCATCCCCAGGACCGCCGCCGCGCTGCTCCCTCAACCGCTCCTCGACGCGGCGGTCCCCAAAGAGCCCCGGCTTTGACCTCCCGAGCCGAGCGCCCGCCGTGACCCGTGGGGCTGGGCAGGGGTGCGGGAGCGCGGCACAAAGGAACACACCATCGCGGCGCGGCCAATGGGCGCCCGCGCGCGTCACCGCAGCCTCCGGTCACTCGCAGTCATGCCAGAGCTGCCGTGGGTGCTGGGTGCTGGCTGGGGGGGGGGGGGTATGGGTGCAGGCTGGGTCCTGCAGGGATTCATTCACAACTTCCCCCAGCTCCACGCTGCGATGAGCGCGGGAGAGGAGTAGCTGGAGCCCAACGCATCCCGTTCCCCCCCCTCCCCAGCGCCGCCGCCGCCATCCCATCGGGTGACGTGTGCGTACAAGAACGTGCATGTGCCGGGTGCTCCCCGTCTGTACGGGTTCGGGTTCTGCCTCTTTCCTCCTCCTCCCACCCGACTTGAAGCCGTGTGTCCTGTACGTCAGCCCGGATGGAAAGATCTCCCTGTCCCCGGGCAGCCGAGGGGAAGCCCTGACTGCGCAGGGCTCTGTCCCGTGTCCGGTTGTGCCGACTTTGTTCCTCATCCCCAGTCTGTAGAGCGCAGGGGGCTTGTAAATCCCCAAGCCAAATCCATCCCTAAACAGATGTGGGTGCAGCCTCCGCATCTGGCTCGCTTCCCTTCCTTCCGTACCCCGCAAGTGATGGGGGGGACCTGGGTGTTTGTTGGTGTCCTGGTGCTGGGTGCAGCTGCTCCCTGCCTGGGCTGCAGCAGGGGAAGGGTTATGATGAAAGAGATGCTCTGGGTGGCTTCCTGCTGCCATCACCCTCATTGGCCAGTCCCGGGACTGTTGCCAAGGCCCAGCCCTTGAGCAATCCCCTTCTTCCCGATCCTCTGTTGCACTTCACATCCCATGTCCCTGTATCCGCAGCTCCGGGAAGCCGGGCAGGGGTGGAAGAGCGAGCCAGGCTGCTGTTGGCTGGTGGTTTGCTCCATCCCTGCCCCGAACGGAGGTGACCCCAGGCTCGGAGGGGGCCATGGCAGCAAAGCCAAGCTGGCGAGAGGCATTTGGCTGCTGGGAGCTGGGCTGTGCTGCCTGGCTGCTCCCCAGCCCTTGCTGGGACAAGGGAGGTGATTACACCCCGCTGGACACATGGCAGGGCTGCCTGGGGGAGAGAACGGGGCAGGTGATGGGAGCCATCCTAGGAGCCCCCAAAATCAAATGCCTGAGCCCCACTGGATGTGTTGCAGTGGGGAGAGCTGGACTTGTGGGGTTACTGTGGGGTGCTGTGTAACATAAGGCTAACGCTGTGTCCTCCCAAAGGATCATCTTTTCCACCCCATTTGCTGTCATTTCCTACTTCCTCATCTGGTTTGTGCCGGACATCTCCAGAGGCCAAGTGATGTGGTACCTTGTCTTCTACTGCATCTTCCAGACCCTTGTGACGGTGAGCTGGGCTCTGCACACCCCAGGGCCAGTGGGTGAGGGATGGAGAGGACGAATCCTTCACCTTGCTGAGCAGGGGGCAGGTTCCCCCTGCCCCAGGTCCCATTGGCTGGTGCAGCACCTCTGAGCTAATTCTCCTCGTGCTGTTGCAGTGCTTCCACGTGCCTTACTCAGCGCTGACCATGTTCATCAGCAGGGAGCAGAGCGAGCGGGACTCGGCCACTGCCTACCGTAAGTGCTTGCTTCCCTCCTCCTCCATGCCATGCAGCAGCAGGAGCAGCGTGACCAAGCTTTGGCCTCTCTCCTTGCCTCAGTTTCCCCATCGCTTTCCTTCCCTGTGGCTTTATCACTTGGGGATTTGGGGGGAGCTGGGCTGGCTCCTTTCTCCTGGGGAAGAGCAGTGAGCGGCAGCTCTGGGTGCTCAGGGCTGGGCTGAGTCCCGCTGGCTTCTCCCTCCAGGTATGACAGTGGAAGTGCTGGGCACTGTGCTGGGCACCGCCATCCAGGGCCAGATCGTGGGCAAGGCGGTTACTCCCTGCATCGAGAGTGCCCTCTTCATTGGCAAAGCCAACTCCTCGGTGGCCATGGAGGAGCTGAACATGACCCACGACACCGGCTCGCTCACAGACACGGTAAGCTGGGGGGGGGACAGGACACCAGGCTGCCCTGGCCTTCTCAACCCGTCTGCTCCTGGGACATCCCCGTCCCTCACCATTCCCTCCTCTCTTCCCAGAGGAACGCCTACATGATCGCTGCGGGGGTCATCGGGGGGCTCTACATCCTCTGCGCCGTGGTGCTGTCGGTGGGCGTGCGGGAGAAGAGAGGTGAGGCTGGAGATCGCACTGCTGGGAGCGCGGTGGCTGCTGCCAGGGGCTCCCCTGGCTCCACTCTTGGTCCCTCCTTCGTGGCTCGAGCCCTGGGGGATCGGGGCAGGAGGAGCTGAGGTCTGGGTCTAGGGCCTGGGGCAGCGGGAGCCAGAGCATCCTCAGGGTACGTTACAGCACAGCCACGAGGACTTAGCTCTCTGCTCTGCACCATCAGAGATAAACGTTATCGAGCACAGCTCTGCCTGGCCAAGGTTTGCCGGTGCCAATTAGGGCATCCCGGGGTGACACGACAGCCAAAGTCCAGGACCTTCTGTTCTCCCCTTGCTCTGCTTTGCAACCAGCTCCGCTTACCCCGGGTGAATCACCAGGTCATCGTCTCCTCTCCGTGGGGCTGATGGACCCCTGCGTGAGGCATTGCCCTGGGATGCTGGAGGCGGGCAGGGGCTCGTGCAGGGTGCTCAGCAGCAGGGCAAGAGGCACCGCAGGCCTTGCACCCAAGGGTGCTGTTTCTGTGGGTCTAATGATGGGCTCATTTGCTCCCCAGAGTCCTCTGAGCTGCAGTCGGACGAGCCTGTCTCCTTCTTCCAGGGGCTGAAGCTGGTGATGAACCACGGTGCCTACATCAAGCTCATTGCCGGCTTCCTCTTCACCTCCCTGGCCTTCATGGTAAGCACAGCCGGGGCAGGGCACGGCAGCAGCACAGCTTGGGGATGGCTGCGGGGACCCAAACTGGATCCGGGTGGGCTGGGAGCTGCCTTGGGCAGAGAGGAGGGATGTGGCTTGGTGCCCTCGGATGGGTGGGATGTCGGGGTCCCGTCCCCTCCCTGACCATCGTCTGCTTCCTCCACAGCTGCTGGAGGGGAACTTTGCCCTCTTCTGCACCTACACCCTGGGCTTCCGCAATGAGTTCCAGAACGTGCTCCTGGCCATCATGGTGCGTATGGCCCGGTCCTGGGGCCAGGACGGGTGCTGCGGGTGCCGTGGGTGCTCCCAGGAGCAACGTGGGCTGAGGGGAGGGAGGCCGTGGGGCTGCAGTGGGCTAATGTGGGGACAGTGACCGAAGGTCCCCTGGGAGAAGGGCAGAGGGAGAAGGAGGTGCCAAACGTCCTGCAAAGTCCAGGCGGGTTGGTAGGAACAGGGGAGCCTTTGTTCCCGTGTGAAGGCGGGCAGAGACAGGGCAGAGCAGGAGCCATGGGGGCCTTTTGTCCAAATCCTGCCACTTAGCTCCCTTCCCCCCGCCTCGAGAAAAGGATCTCGGTGTTTACTGCCAGGAAGATGGAGCAAAACAACTCCTTGAGAGCCCTTTCCAGCTTCTCATCTGTGGGAGCCCTTCCCATGCTCCCTGCTCGGAGGGGTGGAGAGCTCCAAGGTGCCAAGGTCCCAGGAGCCTGGCTCTTGGCCATGGGGTGTGCAGGCAGCGGTGTCAAGATCAGGTCCCTTCCCAGCACTGAGGATGGAGCTGGGTCCTCCCTGGTGTAGGCTGGTACCCGCTGTGCCCCAGGGGTGCTGCGGCAGGAGGTGGCCCCATGCTCCTGCTCCAATTGCAGCTCCCCTTCCTGGGAGTGGAGGCAGGTGAGGAATGGGGTGAGGGCAGGGGCAGGAGCATGGCCATGTGCCAGCCTTGGACTATGTGGAAAAGCTGGAAGTAGAACCCCACTGTGGTGCTGATCCAGCTCTGGGGCAACAGCACAAGAGGGACGTGGAGCTGTTGGATGGAGCTGCTGCGAGGGCTGGAGCATCCCTGCTCTGGAGCCAGGCTGAGAGAGCTGGGCTGGGTCAGCCTGGAGAAGAGAAGGCTCCTGAAGGGGAGACCTGAGAGCAGCTCCAGTGCCTAAAGGGGCTGCAGGAAAGCTGGAGAGGGGCTTGGGACAAGGGATGTAGGGACAGGCCAAGGGGAACGGCTTTAACCTGCCCGAGGGGAGACTGAGATGAGCTCTTAGGCAGAAGCTCTTCCCTGTGAGGGTGCTGAGGCGCTGGCACAGGGTGCCCAGAGAAGCTGTGGCTGCCCCATCCCTGGCAGTGTTCAAGGCCAGGTTGGACACAGGGGCTTGGAGCAAGCTGCTCTAGTGGAAGGAGTCCCTGCCCGTGGCAGGGGTTGGAGCTGGAGGAGCTTTAAGGTCCCTTCCAACCCAAACCATCCCCTGGTTCTATGTGGAGGCTGTGCCCTGGGGCTGCTCCTTGCTGGGAAGAGCTTTTCCCCCAGTGGACAGCCTGGCCAGTGAATGACACCATCACCCCCTTCTCTGCCCATAGCTCTCGGCCACCTTGACCATTCCCCTCTGGCAGTGGTTCCTCACCCGCTTTGGGAAGAAGACTGCTGTCTACGTGGGCATCTCGGTGAGTGGGTCCCCGTCAGCAATGAGCACGGTGTTTCCCATGTGGGGTGAGCAGGGCTCTGGGGCCCAGCGCTGGGCAGGGGCTGCTGCTAACCAGGACTGGGTGGGTGCCTGGGTCGGGTACTGCTGATGCCAGCCTGGTTTGTGTCCCCTCTCCAGTCTGCCATCCCCTTCCTCATCATGGTGGTTGTCCTGGACAGTAACCTCTTCGTCACTTACATCGTGGCTGTTGCAGCTGGGATCAGCGTCGCAGCCGCCTTCCTCCTGCCCTGGTGAGTGCGAGGTCCTGGTGCTGCGTGAGGGGCTTCCAGGGCTGGAGTGGTTGGAAATCCCTGGAGGCCTTTTCGGGATGTTTTCAGCCCAAGATAGAGCTCATGAAGGGAAATCCTCTCGGCAGGGAGAGGAAACGCTTTGTTGGCTCCATCCTAGTGTTCACCACCCTGCTGTCTGCACAGGTCCATGCTCCCGGATGTCATAGATGACTTCAAGCTGCAGCATCCTGACTCCCATGGCCACGAAGCCATTTTCTTCTCCTTTTATGTCTTCTTCACCAAGTTTACCTCTGGCGTCTCCCTGGGCATCTCCACACTCAGCTTAGAGTGAGTTCTTGCATGGGAGCTGAGGGCAGGAAGCCTTGCACCCCTGCATCCAGGCATCCCTGCTTCCCAGGGACTGGGAGAGAAATGGGGGGGGTCTAAATCCCACTGTGGCTCTGTATCTCTGCCTGCAGGGACAAGCTAATCTCTTACAAACTCAGTTTCCTTTGCCTGAAGGTACCTTTCTGTCCCCAGCTTTGCAGGGTACCAGACCCGGGGCTGCTCGCAGCCCAGCGATGTGAACTTCACCTTGAAGATGCTGGTGTCGGCCGTGCCCGTGGGACTGATCCTGCTGGGCCTGCTCCTGTTCAAGCTGTACCCCATCGATGAGGAGAAGCGGAGGAAAAACAAGAAAGCCCTGCAGGACCTGAGGTGAGCACGTGCCCGTGCTATGGGGCGCTGCACGCCAGCGGGGCGTGTGGGAGCAGGATCAGGCCCAGACTGGTTGGGATGCACTGTGACTTGGCCGGGAATCCTCCAGGACCTGTGGGTGGTGGGGTGAGGGATGGCCCGGCTGGTTTTCCCAATCCCAACTTCCAAAGTGATGGCGTGAAGTGCTTGAGATCAACGGGAACCCGCCCCCGGTTGCTAAAGGAAACCCGTGTGGGGACTGCTCCTCTTGAGCTCGGAGGCAGCTCCTGCTCCAAGGCTCACTCCGTGCCTCCTTCCCAACCCTTATCCCGCAGGGAGGAGAGCAACAGCAGCTCCGAGTCGGATAACACAGAACTGGCCAGCATCGTGTGAGCCGCGCCGGGGCTCTCCGGGGGACCCAGGAGCATCCACAACCCGAGCACGAGATCCGTGTCCTTCCCCGGGATCCACAGAGCGCTGGTAGTGTACATTACACGCATAGACCCTGGGGGAGCTGCGTGCCTCATGAGACAGAAGCACGATTCCCTGCTGGGTCCCGGGGAGCAGGAAAAGCCTGGAGCGGGATCCTTGTGCCCGTCGGTGCCTGGCTGCTGTGGGGCCGATGCCTGTGGGACCGGCGGTAATGGTTAGTGTACATTACACTGTCAATGTGACCGCGCCAAGGACGTGGGCTCACCTCTGCTGTCTGTACATAGGACACCAATTTGGAAAGCTGTTCTTTTTTATAGATCCTAATTAACTTAATGATGTAAATACGGAACCATTCCCTATTTGTATATATGTGTACAGAGACGGAACTCGAGGACCTATTAATATTAATTTACATAAAAACGGGAAGCCAGCAGCGTGGGTCTGGAGCATTTCTTTTGTCCCCAAGCCCAGGGTCCCTTTGCACAGCATTGAGGGGCAGGGCTGACTTCTCCCGAGTCAAAGGCACAGGAATGCCATAATCCAGGCAGGCGGCTGTGCCCGGCAGCCCCTTACCCCGTGCAGTCCTCGCTCGGTGCCTTTGCTGCTGCGACAGCCCAACAAAGGCTCTATTCTTTTCCTCCTTTCCAAGAGCGAACGGGGGAGGAGAGGAGAGGAGGGAGGAATGAAACCCAAGTGCTGCCAGCGGAGCCTGTGAGCCCCGGGGCTGGAACCGGGAGAGGCAGCTGTGGAGCGGGGAATGCGGGCTGTGGGTGGCACTGGGTGCGCTCTCCCGGGGCAGGGCGCTGGGCCCTGGGTGTTTGTACCCTGCTCTTGCATTCCTCATCCCGCAGCAGGAATGGGGAGAGCACCGAGCCCTGCTCCACGGGAGCACTGCACCCCTGCGATGCAGAGGGGAAAGAGAGCAAGGAGGATGCTCCAGGGGTACAGCAGCCCCCAGCAACCCCGGGGTGAGGGGACTGCGCCGGTTGTGTCCCATCCCATGGGCACGGTGCTGGGGGACGGGGCTGGTGCCTTTTGTGAAGTACATTTGTCACAGCAAGAAATCTGTGGGGCCAGAGCTTGGAGCTGAGAGCGGGGGTCTGGGGCTCAGCTTTTGTTCCATGTTTGGGTACAAAGGACTAGAATGAGGATGGGGGTTTAAAAATAGCCGGAAAGGATTAGCCCGGAGCTGGGAATGTGGGAGCGGGATCCACGCTGCCACCACGCATGGGTCATGGAAAAAAAGCAAAGGGATGAAGCGGGGCGGGTGGGAGCTGGCTTTGTGCTGAGCAGAGCCATGGCCGGGGTGTCCCCTGCTACCCCCAGGATGGGGCTTGCAGATAGGACCAAGGCACAGCCCAAAGCAAGGGGGGGGACAAGGGAGAGCTGTCAATGGCAGGGCAGGTGGGAGCTGTGTGTGTCCTCTGTGAGAGGAGGAGGAGGAGGAAGGCAGCGTCCAGCCAAGCACAGGACTCAAGCCTGCTGTGTGTGTTCTGACCCCTGCCCTGGCTGCCTCTGAGGGGTGTGGGTGAAAGATTGCTGCTGCCTTTCCCTTTCAGAGGGCTCCAGCAGCGCTCGGGGTCTGCTGATGTGGGGCTCACAAGGAATCTCTGATGGGGCTTTTTCTGCAGCCAGCTCAAGGGACTAGAACCAAACGGCTTGAATCGGAGCCCAGACATTCCACCCTGAGCGCACCTCTTCTATTTGAGGCTGTTAAAAGAGGTGGGGGGGTGGAAAAATGGCCCTGGGAGCTGATAGCGCTGAGCCCTGGGCAGGTCTCCAGCCTTGAAGCAGAGATTGCCTCTTGCCTCAGCTGTGCTTGCAGAGGGCTCTCACTGCCAGCACCAAGAAAGCCTCTGAGGCCAGAGCTGAGGGGAGATGCTGCCTGTGCCTCCAGCCAGCGCCAGCAGCAGCTGTGCTGGGCTTCATTCCACACGAACCCTCATGGAGCAAATGCACCCCAGTGTCCGGCTGCTCCCTGCAGGGCTGCGGTTCCATGGCTGGAGCTGGTGCACGGTGAAATCCAAGGCAGGAGATGGAAGATGGGGGGGGTCAGCCGGGTGCTGAGCTGGTGCCCTAACGCGAGATGGGCTGGGGCTGCGCTGCCCTTGTGCGGGTGCTGGGAGTCAGCCCCGATTTGCAGCTGATGGGCTTTAAGAGGCTGGATTAGGGTTACCCGTGCGGTGCCAGGGGTTTGGGCAGCCTTCTCCTGGGTCTGGAGCAGTGCTGGGGTTTCTGTTCCCTTTTGTTCACAAGGGAAAGAGCCTTTCACTGTACAGAGGTGCAGGTGCCAGCACCCAGGGCTTGCTCTGCACGCAGGCTGCTGCAGGCACCCCTCCACTGACACCAGAGTACATTGGTGCACCCCATGCTCTCCGGTTAAGCTGCAGGTCTCACCCTGAGCTCTTGGGGAGCCTGGGTGCCAGCACTCCCAGTGCACGGAGTTGAGCCTGCACTGGGAGCAGCTCTGCCTCCTGCAGCACAAAGGTCTCGGGGGGGGGTCTTCAGGAGGGTGCTGCCCTGTACTGTGGCCATGAGCAATGGATGTGCTGGAGGAAGGCAGAAGAGGGGCTGGGAGGTGATGGGGCACAGACACGTTCACCCCAACCCCAGGGCTCTTGTGTCCCCTGAAGGCTAAAAACCAAGCAAATCTCAGTGTTAGCCTCCAAAGGGCAGCACAGGAACCTGCAACACCCACCTTACCTCCTCTGTTTGTCACCAAGGGTGGCTGTGCCAGGAGGCTGAGGCAGTGGGAGGGACAGCCTTGAGCTGAGAGTGGCCACGCTGTGTCTGGTTACCCTATGAGGGATAAATGGCAGTGTGAAAAGTCTCTCCTTACAGAGGGTGAGGAATAACCCCCTCCTTATCCTCAGGGAAAGGGCACAAAGCCTGGGGTTTATCTCGCAGTAGGAGAGATTGATGGGTGAGGAAGGACCCGTGCTCCACGCTGCAGCAGTGTTGGTGTCACAGACGCTTCCAGCTGAACCAAGCACAGGCTCACACGTAAAGGGGTGTCTCACAGTGCAGCCACCCTGCTGTGCTGGTGCACTCCATCAGGGAACAGATCCAGCTGGAAGTCGGCCTGGGAAGCTCTGGGAAGAAGCAGGAATGCCAGAGCCTCAAAGAGAGGCGCCGGGCAGTGGGTCACAGCGGACAGGTCCATGGTCCTGGCACGCTGCTCCCAGGCCAGCTGCACAGGACAGAGGTGTTCCTGGCTGTCCCCACGCTCACCTTGTCTGTGCCACCTGCATGGGGTCACTCACCCTCTCTGCAAACACAGACCGGAGGCTGCCGGCCCCTTGGGGTGGGCTTTGGTTAGTGTTTTGCAAACCCATCCTTTCCAAGGATGGAAGCGGCCGAGGCACCGCACAACACGAACAGAGGCGGATGGAGCAGTGGGGTGGTTTCCTGCAGCCTTTCTGGGGCTAAATCAGAAGGAAATACCCCTACGGTGCTTGGAGTAAGGCACCAAAACCACCTGGCAGCAGCACAAGGAAGCTGTAAGCTTTTCCCGAGAGCCAGGACAGTGCTGGGCATGGTCCATAGGTACCGGGAACCCCCAGAGCACCAACGTGGTTTCCAGTCCTTCTGTAAACAGGCAGCAGTTCTGACCCAGCCTTACCAGGAACTTGGTCTTTGTTCCTCCAGGAACCACGCTCAGCTGAAGGGACCCACCCCAGAAGCAAACACACGGGCATGGGGCCGGTGAGCAGAGCTCTCCCTCCCCTTTAGTTCCAGTTCCTCACGGATGCAGCTGAGAGAACAGCTCCTGCCTGCACGGCCCAGCGGGATCCCCACGGCCCCTGCACCAGGAGGCAGGATGTGTCTGGTCACTGCTGTGACTGCGGTAGGATGCTGTGGAGTCTAAGTCATTGAAGACCAAAGAGGCAGTTGTATCTTTGTTTCGCATCAAGTCAGTTGATCCTAAGACGCGTCTGACGGCTGCAGGAAGCACATCAAGCGCTGGCAGGGTGGAAAATGAGGCAAGAAACCAGGATATCAGACAAACAGCACCAGTGACTGCAGGGAGCTGCTTGGCTCCTCTGTAACTGGGAGGGAGGATGTGAGGACAATGGTGCAGGCTCTGCGCTCTGCCCGGGCAGCGGTTGGGAGCCCGGGGCTGCACCAAGGGGACACCCAACTCTTTGTGCTGAAGAATCAAACCCTCCGAGGGCTTCGGGCGCTGCTGCAGCTCGCAGGGAGCTCGGAGCAGCAGGAGCCGCCTCACTAGAGGTCAGCAGAGCCACGCTCCGGGCATCCCGCTCCTGCTGCCCTCGGTTGGGCTCCCGCAGACGGAGCCTGGGTGTCCGCTGGGAGCTCCGCAGCGGCAGACGTGACCATCTATGGTAACGGAGCAGCGGGCAGGAAGCGGTGCTGGAGGCGGCCGAGCTCAGCGCGCTTCCTCCTCCTCCTTCCCATCCCGTCAACGTGGCCCGGCTTCAGGGGCTCTGTGCTCACAGACCCGACGGCAGCTCCAAGCCCCTGCGGGGACCCCAAGGCCCAGCTCCCTGCAGCAGGAGGGAGCCGCTGCCCTTCCTCTGACCACGGCACAGGCACCTTTGAAGAGCAAACCCTGCCCTGACGGTGGAAGCAGCCGCGGGGCGCTGGGTGGGGATAACCCCGGGCTGGCCCCGGGTACCTCCGCCTGGCTCCCGGTTGTTTTGCCCTTGACCGCCCTGGTCTCGGTCTCTCCAGCACCAAAGCCGCGACAACGCCAACATTTACCCAGCGTCTGCTGAGCGCTCTGAGACCCTCGGGTCAAAGAGGGTCCGAGCACAAAGGGCTCCCTATCCCTAAGCACGGGAGCCCTCTAGGAAGGTTTTGATGCCGGGGACGAGCCAGCGCACGCCCACAGCAGAAGCATCTCTGCTGCACGGAGCAGCGGCGGCAGCCACCTCCTGCGCACAGCACCAGGGTCCAGCACCCCGAAACACCCCCGGCGCCTCTCGGGGGTCCCGGACACGCTGAGGACTCCGAGAGCCC